AAGCTAGAAGGACTATGCTCCTTGATGTGATGTGTTCCCTAGAAATGGTGTTTGAGAAATTAAAGTTCATTCTCATGAGAAAACATAGCACTCTATACAGCTTGAGGTCCCATATAGATGGTTTGTACATTGTGACTGTGAATTTCCACACTATGGTCCCCTGAGTGGTGCTCAGGTCCATCGTTCCTCACAGTGAGGTGTCTGCCAGGTATCCATCTGGAGCATTAAGGCAATTTTGACTGGTGTGCTATCTTTTCAGCCAACAGAATAATGTAGTGCCAGAAACTTCACAGGTCGGTTTTATTATTTTAAGGAATATTGAGAAAGAGAGTCGTCAGTTTCTTTTGAGATAAGACCATATAAACTCTGCCAAGAGGGAGATGAGAAAAAATCCCTCTAGTTTTTCCTAAGTCCATCTCCTGATGTTAATAAAAGACACTCTAAATGAACTATAATGAATGTTAATACACAATTGGTATGAAATTTACAAATTGATTAGGTTTTCCTTAATAGAATAATGGATAAAATTTCCCAAATGACATTATGGGATGTTGCATCTTCCACTGTTCAAGACAGTACTGAAAAAGAAGAGGTGGGCTCCAAAAACAAGAGTTAAAACTTCTGTTAAACTCACAGTGCAGAATGGGTCATCTGTTCTCACTGCTTCATTGGTTTTGTTTATTGACTTTTGCATTTCACTATACCACTGCTCTTGTATGTGCCCAAGAAACAAAAGTTTGAAATAGAAGTTCCCTTTTTTGTTTTTGACGTCACTTCTTGTTTATTCTTCTCTATTTAGCACTTTAATCAGCTGGTGTAATCTGTGAATGGGGGCATCAATTGCACTATTATGCCTTCAGAAATAGGACAAATAGGCTAGAGGGAGGGCTCAGTGATTTTTCTGATCTCCCAGAAAACCTGGGTTCGATTCCCATGGTGCTACATGACCATCTGTACCTCTAGTTTCCCTAGCATCATGCAGTACAGACACACACCACACACTCACACACTCACACACACACACACACACACACACAAATAAATAAATCTTTCAAAAAAGTTTTTAAAAATATGACTAAAGACAAAGCACTTTTAATGTTTTGGTTCATCTTCACATTATAAATCATCATGATACATTTGAGTATCTTGAGTTTATACTACAAACATAATAATCTTAACTGTAAAATGCACTCATAGTTCTGTTCCCTTTAACATGCTGATTTCTATTCCCCTGACCCTTGTGTTCTGATTCCCATCCCATCCGCTCTCTTCCTCTATGACCTTCTCTTGCCACTCTGAGTACTGGTATAACCCCAGGCTCCACTTATGCATTTGGCTGACTAAGCTTTCCCTAAGAACAGAAAGTAAGTCCTTAGTGTTGATAAAATACAGGAAATGGTGAGGACCAGGAAATGGTTTTCAAGTTGATACATATATTTCCCCACCTTTATCCTTTTAAAAAATTTAGCATACTGAACCTTGATTTAAATCCAGTGCTAAATTACTCCTTTTGTCTTTGTTTATACTACAACAATGAGGTAGTCTGCATCCTGAAACCAGGAGTCCATTGAACGCAAGGAGCAGAGGTTTACCTCCAACATGTAATCTAGTAACAGCCCAATCCTAATTTATTCCAGTTTACAGAAAAGAGCAATAGGAGCCAGGTATCTAATGAAAGCACAAGTCCTCTTCCCAGATGCTGTTTCGGTTACTTTCCAGGACTTTGCTTTGTCAGGGTTTTCATGAACATGCAGCACTTTGTTGTGCATTACCTCATAGACTTTCTCTTTTCAAGGTAGCTGTCCTCAGTGCCAGATACACTCATTACTCATACAAATCTAGGTTATGTTTTTCTAGGGAAATTAATTACTTTGTGTTGGCTACATATGGCTAGCTTGTCAGAAGAAAAGCTTTAGCATATTTTGGGTGGTATAATATAGGCATTTAAAAAGCCACTTTCCCTTCTTCCTCTTTGTGCATAAAACAGCACATTAATATGTACTAGAATTAACATATTTTACAATTGCTTAGCATTGCATGGGGTACTAGAGAATTATTTTCAATGTTTCCTGCAAAGGGCCTGCACCTGATTTCATAATCGCAAATTAAGACTAAGGAAAACCAGAAATGTTATTGTTCATCACTCTCCTTTTGAATAGCCATGATTACATGTCCTACATTTTGGTGCTCTTCTGTGTCCTTTAGCATTCTAAAGGTATTAAATTTAGTGCAGTAGTATCCATACTCCCAAGTTATGTGGGTATCTGCCGTCACAGTGTTTAATGATGAAAAAATAGTCCAGGGAATTTAATCTGTTTCAGGTCATGAGATGCATTTTAATCCAAATGAAATGATTTTATGAGAGGTAATCATCATTTACCCCTTCTTTTTGTGTTAGACATCTAAAAGGATCAGTTCATGTACCAGTGTACCATATGATATAATTTTCTAATAGAGTGAATAGAAGTTTATATTGATTAAGCTATACAGCACATTAAAATATCTTTGTTGAGTCTACTGTCTATTTACTCTCTACTGTAGGAGAAAAGGTGTTTCTTGTTGTTGATTTTGGTTTTTTTCCTAAATTGTAATTGTAGACATTCTTTGAAACCAAGGCAATAGAAACCATTTATAGTACCTATAGAGTGGAATTTTTACTAGTTATGCTGGTTTGGCTGTTAGAAGCTTGCTTATTGCACTGCACACATGTGACATGCCACATGGCTGCATATAAATTACTATTTATGGTACTGTTGATGAAACATCAAGCTCTGTGAGGCTTTGTCTCCTCTAGAGATATTCACTCAATGGTATCTACTGAGAATCGTTGCTTTATCATCCATTTATTAAAGTTTGGTATGTTGGTTTCTATAATAAGGCAGTCTGTATCATCTTTTTAAATCAGAGTCTAACCCAGGTCCTTATGTATACTATGCAAATCCTCTACCACTGAATCTCCAGTCACATTTGTTTTAAATAACAATTCATTTAAATGACATTTTAATGAGTATGTTACATTTTCCTTAGCCATCCTGAATTTCACTGTATCTGTGTTCCACACAAGCTTCATTTAACATCACAGTTTACCCTTTCTTTTAGGATCTTGGACATGAGACTTCATCTCTTTTAATCCTGTTGTGTTGTCCCATTGTTACCTGTCTTTGCCTCAAACATCTTTTGATATTTGCCTGAACAACTTCAACAGTTTTCTTATTACTGCCGCATCAGTGTTACTGAGGCCTCATGTTGCTAATGTATGTCATTAAGGAGTTCATCTTAACAGAGGGATGTTTCTAGCTCCACCTAAGTGGATATTTGCCTAGTGTGTAGCTAGAAGAGAGGGGGTTTGCTTAAGGGGAAGAATTGGGTCCTTTGTTCTTGCTCACACCTCTAGCCTTCTGTATTCTCAGCAGCAAAACCCAGTCCCCCCTAAGGTTACCTTGGCATGTGACAGCCCTGTGGCTTTGTGCCACTCTGTCTCCTGCCATGCCCATGTTTCCTAACTCTGATTCTGCTAATTTAGTATGTGTCAAGAGTCATTCTACTTTCTGGGTTTCTGAAGAAAGTCAATTTAGTACAAATTGGGACCTATTTACTCTCCCTCTATCTAACACATACTGTTAGTCAGCAGGGCTTCTGAGGACGGCAATTGCTATTTGAGGCAAACAAACCCTTTTTAGACCTTTCTGAATATGTTTTAAACATGACCCAGTGTATTTCAGTATTGAACAAAGATTATTTAGTGTTGATGTGACTGCTTTGTAGTCTGTTTTCTCTGTATCCTGTTACATTTCTTAAAACTTTCGGGTTTCTTTAATATTTATTTGATTGCTTAATTAAATTTCACTGTTTCATTAAGGCTTTCTTTTCATTGCACATCTGAATTGTTAATTTTGTTTTTGAAGGATGGCTGGATTCCTTACAGAAACAAGCAGAGCTCTCCTCTTCCTGCCATCAGTTTTCAGGGGACATATTGCTTCTTCCGTACTGTCATACCAATAAATCATCCCAGATTACTTGCCGAGGTACAGTCCTGAAGTATATACCATGCATTTTAAAGGAAATCTGCTATTTTCTTTTCAATCAGATGAGCAATGTGAAGAGACTCCGGCCACGGCTCAGTGCTATTCTCTTTAAGCTTCAATTTGAAGAGCAGGTGAACACCATCAAACCTGACATCATGGCTGTCAGTACTGCCTGCGAAGAGATCAAGAAGAGCAAGAGCTTTAGCAAGTTGCTGGAACTTGTGTTGCTAATGGGAAACTACATGAATGCTGGCTCCCGGAATGCTCAAACCTTCGGATTTGACCTTAGCTCTCTCTGTAAAGTGAGTTTGTTTTTTTAACACACATATTTGCCTGAACACTTACTCTTAAATGTCAGCCCTGATTACATTATTTAAATATTTTTATTTTGATGGGCTCATTATCAAGAACTTGAACTGAACCATGAACTCAAACCTAGAGTGAACTGAGCTAATTTACTCAACCTCTGAACTAAATCCAAATATTAATTTTCTCTGATCTGCAAATCCAACTGAAGGATTTTGTTTAATAACTAAATTATATCCTAAACCTATGCTTTCTCAAACCAATGAAATAGAACGTCAAAATATCATTTAAGCTTTATATTTATTTAGTTCAGGTACCATCATCTAGTGATGTGTATTAACTGTTACTTAGGACTGCTGAATTTTTTGCCTTTCACTATTTAAATATTTTTCTACATTATTTTGCATTGCAGACTAAATGAGAAATAAGATTTCTTTATATATGAAAAGCATTATTAGAAATACACATATTTCAGACCTCACTGATGAGTTGAAAATGTTTCTGTCCAACTGTAGTTTTAGAGGTTATGAAAACTGAGTGAGTTTACATAGTGCTGTATTGTTTTTTTGTCTTCTTTCAGAGCTTGAATTTCTTTGTAACAAACATTTTTGTATAATATTCCTCTTTCCTGGGGTGTTTGCCAGTGGTAATAATGCTTTAGTGATTTATTTGTCATAAATTCTTATCAGTTACACATCACAAGAAACTTGTGACATCCACTCTCTCTGATTAAGGAATTTGTCATTTACTATTGCTAGTTTGGTAAGGAAGGTGAGACTCTGGTTCAGCTTTGGTTGTTGGTTGGCGAATGGCCATCCCCATGGTGGCTTTATATTCACCTTGTCACACAGCTCTCCTGAGCCCAGGCTGCCATGGGCATCAGTGTTCCATGAACTTCTCTCTTACTTCTTTCATTTTCCTGCCTTTATTACCTCATCTTTCTGTATTTGGATAAATTGTGTGCTGCAGCTGACATATATCTTGCAACATAAACCAAAGGCTTTTTGCATCTGTTTACTCTGGGTAAAACCCTGTGTTGTGTGGTTTACCATATCATATTGCTAAGGTAGGTGATAGATATTTTACCTAGCATGTGTAGATCTCATATTTCCTAGTGGTAAACCACAATTGTATTTGTTTGACTATTTATATTTACTTATTCATATTATGATGATTCAGTGCTTTAATGGAGCTGTTTATAAAATCATTTGGTAGTCAAGTTAGGCCAGAGAGGCCAACTTAGCAGGAAGAGGATGGTGGCTAAGTATTCAGAGAGGGGAAAAAAATAACAGAGTCTTGAAAATAAGTATATATTTTCTGGAAAAAATTATAAGCAATAGGAGGAGGTTGGCATAAAGCTTATTTCATTGCACATGTGTGTACATGATAGTGCAGTATCTTTGCACTCTTCTTGGGACATGAACTGGGGGAAGCAGGAGTGAAGTAGGAAGTCAGCAAATATCCCGAAATTTCATGCCTTGCAGCGGTGGTTTTCTAGACATACATTAATTCTGTAAGCAGATAGTGTGTTCATGAATGTAATTTTTTTAGCAGGAGGAAAGAAGGTTAGGCTGTACTTGCTTAGTACTATTATCATTGAGGATATATTGCTACTTAAATTTGCTAATTCAGATTTAAGTTAAACTACACAGTTATTTCGTTCCTTAGCCATATTTACTACGTTTGCATTGCAAATGAATGCGTATTCCTACTAAATATTCAGCCCATTCCCAGCACTCCATGAAGTTCTATTGGGAAGAGCTGGTTACATAGTTAGAGTACCAGCAATTTGGTGGAGCTGTCTAGTACCTGACCTATGACAGTGGCAGAAGACATCAGAGTAAAAACAAAGGTGGGAAAGATGTGGTAGGAGAGGAGGAAGGGGTGAACGATGATTTCCCTATTTGTGCTTTAGCCATCTGGTGGGTGGTTTTTCTACTGGCATGCTTGCAGTGTTGGCTCCACAAGGAAATAGCTATTATTTCCCTCCTTTTGTTTACCTCAGTATCTTAAAGGATAGCCTATTTAAGTTGCCTTATCAGAACACTTAGCAAAAAATCTGGATGATAGCACGCCAAGCTATAATAATGGCCTTGGAGCTTGAAGTAGAATGGTAGAGTAGATCAAGGGAAGTAAACAAATTTTGCAGCCAAAGAGTCATTGACAGGGTTTGGTAACTGTGAGAGGCTGAAGGAGAGGTTGGTAAGGTAGACTACCATGTCAAGGAAGCCAGGGGAGATAAGGGGGAAGACAGTGGGGACTGAGTGCTACACCTGAGAAACGACTGGGGATTATTGATTAGCATCCACATCTCTGCGGTATAGTTAATGCACCAAAAGGTGGCTACCTATTCTCCTTCATCCCTTCTTCTCAGAGAGATGTTGACAGGAGACTACAACTGATTAATGATGTGGAAGAGGCTGATTCAGTGTCTGGTACATAGTAAATAACTAAATAATGAGAAGGAAAGTTGTTTTATTACAGTAGTGTAGTTTGGTACTTATTTTGTAGTGGAAAATAGACACTCTCTACTTGACATACACTCATAGATACATAGTAATTTTAAAATACTACAAATATAGTACAAGCTGTTATTGTTTTACTACAGTTAGTGTGTAAACCAGTTAATCTGTCTTCAGATAAAAAGTTGTCTGTGTTCATGAATTGGTACTGGATATTTTTGATCAACACGCTTTGGAGACTTCTGTTGTACAAGAAACAAAATAAATAGTACAACTTCCTTTTTATTAGCCTGCATGTCAAGTTGGAAGCATATATTGAACAAGAAGATATCTCATCACGTTTGTTATCAGAAGTAGCAGCTTGATCTTTGACAGTTGTGATTAATTTTTTTACTCCAAATATAAAGCATTTGATTTCTTGATAATCCCCAGTATATGGAGCTCTTTATTTATTTGACAGTATAAAGGCAAGAAATATTTTATCTGTTCATACATGCTGAGTAATTATGTGGCATTTAACATTCTATATCTCAATTCTTATTTTAAATTTCCTTTTAGATAAAACTTAGGTATGCAAAATATATGATTTTTAAAGAATTGGTATTGCTATTTAGGAATTGGTACACAGATTTTGAATTCTATACCCATTATAGTTCGATATTCAGTTTTATGTTTTGGTATTAATTTGTATTTTAGAGTGGTAACTATCATGTCTCTGATCTGAAAGATGCTATGTGGTAAATGTCAAATAAATGCAAAAGTAAAATTGAGTTATAAGATGAACATCAATTTGAAACTTTTGCGCGCGCACGCGTGTGTGTGTGTGTGTGTGTGTGTGTGTGTGTGTGTGTGTGTGTTTTGGCATTGGTTTTTCTGATAGAGTATAGAAATTCTTTATTGAGCTAAAAAGATTTGCCCCCCCAACAACTTTAAAACCTTTCTACTCCCATTTCTTTATAAAAGGAAAATTTATTGAGTAGTGCTCTTATACACTGCAAAGCCTGAATCAGATTCATGTGCATCTTTCCTTGAGAACCATCCCTTTCTCTCTCCTCCCCACTACCACATGTATATACTGGGCCTCCTACATTGATAGGACACTCTGTAAGAAAGTCTTTCAAATCTGTTTTTCACTAACAGCAATGTAGTGTTATGAATACCTTGCCTTGATTTTTCAAAAGGATAAACTGTAGAATGTAAATGAAGAACTGTTTGTCATTCACACATTTCTCTGAAAAATAGTAATACTTTGCTCTTTCACTAAAAGCTGGTAGTAGGCATTTTGTATACTCACATACATGTTACACAGACACACACTCAAACACACACACACACAAACACACACACACACACACACACACACACACACACACACACACACACACACACACGCACACACACACACACACACACACGCCTCCTGCTCATGATAAAATGTAAATCCATTTCCTTAGAAACCCATCATATAGATGGTAGATGCTTGTTTGTTAAAAATTCTTGTAAAACTTTAATATGTTTAGTAATGAGAATGTTTCTTTAAGAGGATTCACTTGCATGGCCAAAATGTTTTATTTCCAACTAAAATTAGCATTTTAACTAATGAGTGGATTGACCCAATTATCAAAGTTCAACATCACATTAAAATATGAGATAATTTTGACTTGTAAATTTAAGGAACAGATGGTTCGGATCTGCACACAGTGGTGCTGCCATGTGTTTAATAGTGTTTACTAATATCTAATGAGATGTGTGATTTCTGAATAACAAATCCTAATCAATATCATAGGATGCTGTAGATTTTTGTTCTAGATTATTTGACTTCCTATATTGAGGTGATGGAAGACAGCTTTATTTGTTGTTGTTTTCTTAAAAAAGATTTATCTATTGATTCCACTTTAAATTATCTACTTTACTTCTTGTAGGAAATGTTCTGTTGTCTATGTCAGAACATTAGAAAGTTCATTGCCATGTTAAAATTATCAAATCATGCATAATCATGTTCTGTAGGCTTGAGAGTAAGAAGAAAGTGGTTGAAGGGCAAGCAAAGCAGATTTATGTCTGAGTTTCTTTCCTCCAGTGCAGAATTTTCAACGTGACCTTCTGGATATTTCTTTTCTTAGACAAGCTTTCCTAAAGTAAAGTAACTTCACCAAATCTGTGAAGGGTAGGATTTAAATGAAAAACATCGAATTTCCGTTTTCTTTAATTTCTATCCAGACTGTAGTGAGTAGCCTTTGATACTGTGAACATCTACTGAAGTCATATTTATTGATTTGCAACATGGAGTACTCTTTTAAAACCACTAATGCTTGATCCCCCTCATCAGTTCTCTTAGTTCAAAATTTTTCTGTGTGGCACTTTAAAATGGGCGCCAGGTGACTGTAACACTTAGCTCAAACTGGGAATCATTCTGACTCTTCTGTGATACTTATATAATCCAAAACAGAAAATCCCTGACTGATGGTCTGGAAGTAAATAACCAACAAACAAACATGAGGTAATGAAAATGAACCAACAGCAAAACAAAAACAAAA